GAACAGGACGTGACCCATCCCGTGTCTTTAAGAAGCTAGTTCGGTGTAGCACAGATAATCTAACTAGGCATTATGGGAAAGACAGTTTTCACCAGGGGTGAGGGTGAAGATTTCAGACAGAACAAAGATGGCTAGAAGTTACTGTGCTCAGATAGCCAGGACTGCTGGAACAAGACTCTTGTGTATACAGCCCACCGGACAAAGGCTTCTTATGCTAAGACTCTAGTAGCTGTCATATACCTGCTAACAAGGACCTCTTCTGTGGAGCTTCCCCCACTTGCTTCCAAATGGCTAATCGCTTAGCTCTTACTCTTTAGTTCTTCTTCATGTGTACATGTTTGTGGCATTCATGTATGAGGCTGGAGGTCGATGCTGAGAATCTTCAATCACTCTTGTACCTTATTCTTTTTTTTTTTTTTTTTTTTTTTTTTGGTTTTTCGAGACAGGGTTTCTCTGTGGCTTTGGAGCCTGTCCTGGCACTAGCTCTTGTAGACCAGGCTGGTCTCGAACTCACAGAGATCCGCCTGCCTCTGCCTCCCGAGTGCTGGGATTAAAGGCGTGCGCCACCACCGCCCGGCTTGTACCTTATTCTTTGACAACTCCCTGTCGTGACAAGTATCTCTAGCCTGCTTGTGCTTGGGGCATCCCAAGTCTGCACTTGGCATTTATGTGAACTCTACAGATCCAACTTTAGGCCCCTTGCTTGCAAGGCAAGTATTTTAATTGCTGAGTTAGCTCCCTAGCTCTTTTTTCTTTATCACACACAAGTGCTTCCTAGACAGAGCAGAATGCTAGGTCCCTAATGTGTGGCATCCAGTGCTTATTAGCTGCTTTTAACCTAATATTCTGGTATCCCTGAGAGTTTACTTCACCTCCTAAAGACACTATACTCGGAGGCTAGTTAACTCTTCCCAAAGAGATGACACCAAGTTAAGCTGTGACAAAGGTAGCCCTGCTCTGCTGGAGTGATGAGAGAGGAGGTAGGTGTGTGTGAGCAGCCCTGGAGGTATGAGAGAGGAGGTAGGTGTGAGCAGCCCTTTTTCCTACTCAGCCTCTTAGGGAAGCTATGCAGTATGGACCCAGCCACGATGGAGAGCCTCCTGAGCTTGGATCGTTTGCTGGGCTCCCAGGGGAGCCACGGGACACCTCTGCTGAACACTCCAAAGCGAGAGCGGATGGCGCTCATTAAGACAGTGGAGGAGAAGAACCTGGAGATTGAGGTACTTGTTGAGAAGCTGACCTAGTATTCTAACCAGTTTAGAAGTGCATTACTTATGGCTAGAGAAATGGCTCGGCAGTTAAGAGCACATTGTTTTTGCAGAGGACCAGAGTTCGATTCCTAACACCTGTGTCAGGCAGCTCACAACTACCTAAAACTTCCAGCTTCAGAGAGACTACATCTCTCTGACGACTTTGGGCACAGACACAAGTACATATACATAATTACCTGTGATTTAGCAGTTAAGAACACTGGCTCGCGGGGGGGGGGGGGGGGGGGGGGGGGGGGTGTTGTGTTGGTGGCAGGTGCACGCCTTTAATCCCGTTTAATCCCGGCACTTGGGAAGCAGAGGAAGGCAGATCTCTGAGTTGAAGGCCAGCATGGTCAACAAAGTGAGTTCAGGACAGGCTCCAAAGCTACAGAAAAATCCTGTCTTGAAAAACAACAACAAAAAAAGGACTGGCTTACTTTCTAGCAACCACATGACAGCTCCCAACTGCCTATAACTCCAGTTCCAAGGGATCCAACCCTGTCTACTGACCCACAAGGGCACCAGGCATACATATAGTTCACAAATATATATGCAGGCAAAATACCCACACACATAAAAATATATAATCTGCCTAGAGGCAGGCGGCTCTTTGTGAGTTTGAGGTTGGCCTGATCTACATGCCAATTTCCAGGCCTGCCATGGCTACATAGTGAGACATTGTCTCAGAAACAAACAAACAAAACCCTCCATTTCACAAGACTTCCTTGCTTGAAGACTTATTCTGTCTCTAAGTAGCCCCCTGATCATATTAGAATACCCTTAGTTATTTTGAACCCTGTCTCCTCATTGATTCTCCTACTGGTCCTACATCTATTCTCTTGGACCTCAGAGCTCTGCCTGCCCACCTTCCTAATCCACTGCTTTGGGACTGGAACTGAGTCACATATTCCCATGATCCTTCCCAACAGAGGCTTAAGATGAAGCAAAAGGAACTGGAGGCCAAGGTGCTAGCCCAGGAAGCGCAGGATCCAAAGGATAAAGAGAACAGTCTGACAGTTCTCCAGCCCCTTCCCTCTTGTACAGACACAGTGGCGAAGCCCCTGAGAAAGGCTGTGGTGATGCCCCTGCAACTGGGTAAGTTTAGTCCCAGGATATGGACTGACACAGCTACCTCAGAAGTGAAGAGATGTAAAGAGCAGCTATCCTCTTGTCACTCACACCCTCCCACTGGGTCTGAAGAAGCCCTGGGTGCTTGTCATGCCAATTAAAGACAGCAGGGTCTTGACTGAATATGGTGGCACACACCTGTGATCCCAGCACTCAGAAGGGCGAGGCAGAATGGTTGCTCTAAATCCCAGGTTAGCCTTGGTTATAGAGTGAGACCCTGTCTCACTTGGAAACAACAAAACCTCGAGTTTGGAGGAATGGGAGGGAGGGAGGGAGGGAGGGAGGGAGGTCGCTTGTGCCCTGACCAGTTTCTAATCCTGCTTTCAGTTCAGAAACAGGCAGAGTCAAAGATCCATATTCTGAAGAGAGGCCACAAAAGAAAGGTGAGCCCCACCCCGCGTTTCCACTTGGGAACGTTTTACATGCAGTGATGGATGAAATGTGGTGTACCTCAGAGTGGGTATCCGTCATTTTTGAGTTTCCTTTTTTTGATGCCCCTTGCACTTGGACTTGCTACTGATTAGATCTAGTATGTAGTCTAGCTCCCGCTCTCTCTAAGCTATAAGAAATTTAGGGAGAATGACGAGCATTTAAGAATCCCTTAAGCGGAATGGTCTTCACACAAAATGAACACTAGTTGAACTGCCCCAAAACTGACAAGCTGGGGATATTTGTTTTTTTCAAGCACGGCAGGCACTTCCGGTGCTCTACTGCTGAACTGTAGGCTCCTCTGAGTTACTTGATGTGTGCGTTCATAGTCATCGAATCTTCACAGCAACTGAGAATTATACCAGTTCTGCAAAATTAGTACGAGGAGGGGGAAGGTGATTAGGTGTTCGCAGTCATCCACAGACTTTTGCTGTCATTTCTGTTACCTCATAGCTAGAGCCATCAATTGCGTCCAAGCCTGTGGAAAAGGCTGAGGACTGCTGGGAGCTACAGATTAGCCCAGAGTTACTGGCACATGGGCGCAAAAAATTATTGGATCTGCTGAATGAAGGCTCAGTTCGGGATCTGCGCAGCCTGCATCTCATTGGCCAGAAGAAGGCCCAACTCATCATGGGCTGGAGGGAGCTCCATGGCCCCTTCAGCAAGGTAACAACCTAGGAAGGCAGGTGGAGAGGGGTGCCCCGGCTCTCTGTCCACCTCCTTCCTACTGACGCTGTCCCTCTAGGTGGAGGACTTGGAACAGGTGGAAGGCATCTCTGGAAAGCAGGTGGAGTCTTTCCTGAAGGTAAGAGCATCTCTGCCCTTTCTCTACCAGCCTGCAGGCTGTGCCCCGCCCCATCCGCCCTAGCCCAGCTGCTACACTGACGCATTTATGCTTCCTTGCAGGCGAACCTCTTGGGCTTGGCTGCCGGCCAGAACTGTGATCCCTCCTGACTACCAGCTCTTCACACTCCCTTTTCCTTTTAAAACCCTTGTATAATGATGTTTTTATTGTAAATACAGTTTTTATTCCATGCTCTAGCCTGGTTTTTAGGGATGGCAGGGCTGGGGTGGGAGCCACAATTGGCCTTGGGATCAGGATCACGCTCTGCGGGGATACTTATCTGGGCGCCATCTTTGGGAAATCCCGAACTAGTCCAAGATTGTAAATAAACCACTGGAATTGGAAGGGGACGGTGGCCTAGATGAATCAAAAAGCTGAAGCGAAAGCCGAAGAACAACGACCGTTAGGCGGGCACGCGCTTCTAGCTTAGCCCCGCCCCACTGTAACTCCCTGGGCGCGCTCCCCATTCTGCTCAGGACGACGACGGTGTTGTGTGCGCGTGCGCGCGGAATAACGGCTGCTGGCGGAGGGAAGTGGGGGGTGGAATCGTTGAAGTGGGGGAAGAGAAGCCGCCTAGTCTCCCGCGCGCCCACCACCTGCACCATCGCCAACCAATCAGCAGCCGTCTCGAGGGTCTCGCGCTCGGGGCGACTCGGGCTGCTGGGTGGCTCCCCCGTCCCTCCTCCCTCCAGAGTTCCTCCCGTGCCTCCCCCTCCCGCTGGCCCCGCGCGCACCCGCGCTCGCGCCCGCTCCAGCCTCTTGTGTGTCCTCGCGCCCCCCGCCCGCCCTCCGGCGCGCAGTGTGCTCCGCTCCCCCACCCTCTTCCCCCCTCCCTCCCTGCGCGCCTCCTCCCCGGGTCCCCCTCCCCCCCACCGCCTCCTCCCGCCCCAGGGTGAGCGCGAGCCACCTCCCTCCTCCCTCCGCCATGGATCCCAGCAACTGGAGCAGCTTCATCTTCCAGGTAACAACCCCCGCCCCCCCCGCCCCTGCCCCCCCCTCCCACACCCCCTCCTGCCCGCCCTCCCTCCCGTCCCACCCCCCCTCCGCGCGCCCGGTGCGCGCGCAGCTGTCCCCCTCCCTCCCTCGCGCCCTCCCCCGCCCTCCCCGAGGCGCCGGCTGGGCGCGCGCGCGCGGCGGGGGCCGAAGCTGCTCCCTCGCTCCCCCCACCCCGCCCCGCCAGGCTCCAACTGCCGCCACCGCCGCCGCCGCCGCCGCCCGGGCCCCCCGCCCCCGGCCCCGGCCCTCGGCCCCGCGGGGCCTCTCGCCCCCACCCAGGGGGCGTCGCCGCCGCCGCCGCGCTCCGCGCCCCACAAGACGCCCTCCTTCCCTCCCTCCCGCCGGCCGGGGTGCGCGGGCGGCGGGGCGGCCCTCGGGCCATGCGTTCGGCTCGGCCCAACCCGGCCGGCCGGGGGCGGCGCCCCGAGCCCGGGCCCCGCGCGGCCCGTGCCCCCGGCTCCCGCTGAGCTCCGGGGGCCCCACTGTGGCCGAGGCCATGTTCCCCGTGTTCCCTTGCACGCTGCTGGCCCCCCCCTTCCCCGTGCTGGGCCTGGACTCCCGGGGGGTGGGCGGCCTCATGAACTCCTTCCCGCCACCTCAGGGTCACGCCCAGAACCCCCTGCAGGTCGGGGCTGAGCTCCAGTCCCGCTTCTTTGCCTCCCAGGGCTGCGCCCAGAGTCCATTCCAGGTGAGTAGGGGCCGGGCCGGGCGGGCAGGCGCCGACCAGCAACCGCGGCCCACACGGCGCCTTGTCTCTGCAGGCCGCACCGGCGCCCCCACCCACGCCCCAGGCCCCGGCGGCCGAGCCCCTCCAAGTGGACTTGCTCCCGGTTCTCGCCGCTGCGCAGGAATCGGCCGCGGCGGCTGCAGCCGCGGCGGCGGCGGCCGCTGCTGTGGTTACTGCACCCCCAGCCCCTGCTGCCGCCTCCACCGTGGACACAGCGGCCCTGAAGCAGCCTCCGGCGCCTCCTCCGCCACCCCCTGCCGTCTCCGCACCCGCCGCAGAAGCCGCGCCCCCCGCCGCGGCCGCCACCATCGCCGCTGCCGCCGCGGCAGCCACCGCTGTCGTCGCCCCAACCTCTACAGTCGCTGTGGCCCCTGTTGCATCTGTTTTGGAGAAGAAGACAAAGAGCAAGGGGCCCTACATTTGCGCCCTGTGCGCCAAGGAGTTCAAGAACGGCTACAACCTCCGGAGGCACGAAGCCATCCACACAGGAGCCAAGGCTGGCCGGGTCCCATCGGGTGCTATGAAGATGCCCACCATGGTGCCCCTGAGCCTCTTGAGCGTGCCCCAGCTGAGCGGGGCCAGCGGGGGAGGGGGAGAAGCCGGGGCTGGCGGAGGCACAGCCGCCGTGGCGCCCGGTGGCGTTGTGACCACGACTGCCTCTGGAAAGCGCATCCGGAAGAATCACGCCTGCGAGATGTGCGGCAAGGCCTTCCGCGACGTCTACCACCTGAACCGACATAAGCTGTCGCACTCGGACGAGAAGCCCTACCAGTGCCCTGTGTGCCAGCAGCGCTTCAAGCGCAAGGACCGCATGAGTTACCACGTGCGCTCACATGACGGCGCTGTGCACAAGCCCTACAACTGCTCCCACTGTGGCAAGAGCTTCTCCCGGTGTGCAGGGGCCTCGGCTGCCCACTAGGCCGATGGTGGGGGGAGGGCAACGAGGTGGCCTGTCTTTGCCTAGTGGGGAGGCGGCTCCCGACGCTGGGGACGGGAACCACTCCCAGGGAGGAGGGAAGTGAGCCTCGTGGTTACTGGGAGCAGGGGGTGGTACTTTAGAGGAGGTGGGTCCTTGAGCTGAAGGAAAGCTGAATCCCGGCTTGAGGGATTTCCTGCCTGAGGACCGAAGTTCTGGGGGGAAACGCTGGGGTTTTGGAAAGGCACTTGGAGGAAGCTAGGCAGATGTGAGGCACACCTCACCTTGGAACCTTAGCCCTAACCCCCTCCCCCACCTCAACATATCCCTAGGCCGGATCACCTCAACAGTCACGTCAGACAAGTGCACTCAACAGAGCGGCCCTTCAAATGTGAGGTAGGAAGCCCGCTGCCTCCTGTCCTGGTGTTCATGATTTTGATCCTCACTGTAGCTGTCTGAGTTCAACCTCTCAGACCCCCTTTTTCTCTCTCTTTTTGCCTTTTCACTCCATTTTCGCATTTCTCCTTCAAGGCCTGGTCATCTCACGCCCATTTCCTACAGATCAAAGACCCCCCAAGGCTCTGATCCCTTTATCTTGCTCCCTTCTCTCTACTCCCCGAAGCTTTAACTCTCCTGTGACCCCCCACACCCTCCCCCCCAGAAATGTGAGGCAGCTTTTGCTACGAAGGATCGACTCCGGGCGCACACAGTACGACACGAGGAGAAGGTGCCATGTCATGTGTGTGGCAAGATGCTGAGCTCGGCTTATATTTCGGACCACATGAAGGTGCACAGCCAAGGCCCTCACCATGTCTGTGAGCTCTGCAACAAAGGTACATGCTAAGGGATGGCAGGAGGGCAGGGACAAAGTGGGGTGGGTGGGCACGAAGCTGGTGTGGTCACGGGTGGGGGTTAAGGGCGCTGTAGCCAAGAGCTTGTGGCATGTAGAAGAGCCCTTTAAGAACTAACGGAACTCACTAAATTCTGTGCCCAGAGTCCATCTCCTGTGTGGGCCTGGGGAGAATGAAGTGGGACGTGGTTGATTTGTGAAAGGAGAGCTCAAGAAAACCAGTCCCCAGTGTTTCAACTTCGCAGCCACAAGTTCTTGTCTCCAGCTCCTGGGGCAGGTGGAGCACAGCAGCACGGGTGTAGCAAGCACACACCCTGCCCAGTAGCAGAGAGAGCTCTTTTCAGTGTGGGTAGTTCACTAAATGAGCTGAGACCGGGGCACTGGAGAGGGGGGACACAGCCGTCTCTACTGAGAGTCAACCCTTCAAAAAGCTAGGCAACAGTGTCCTGTCGAATGGGAGGTCTCCCGGCTATGGGGGAAGATCTCTGTAGAACACTGTTAAGGATCAAGGAACAGGCACCGTTCAAACCAGGCCCCAAGCTCAGGGAAGGGCTATGTCCTAGTGGAGTAGTTGGCCCCAGCCTACCAAGGATGTGGTGGGAGGAGGACAGTGCCACCTGAGGAGGGTGTCCCCAGCCTAGGAGAACAGCCCTGTCTCTGGGGTCTCCACCAGGCTGACCCCCACCCCCCCATCCCAATCCACCCCCCCCCATAGGCTTCACCACAGCAGCATACCTGCGCATCCACGCGGTGAAGGACCATGGGCTCCAGGCCCCGCGGGCTGACCGCATCCTGTGCAAACTGTGCAGCGTGCACTGCAAGACCCCTGCCCAGCTGGCCGGCCACATGCAGACCCATCTGGGGGGGGCCGCCCCTCCTATCCCGGGAGATGCCCCCCAGCCACAGCCTACCTGCTGAGGGGGACCCCTGCACCCACCAGGCAAGGCGTGGGACATGGCTGGGGGGGCAGGATGGGATGTGTGGGACAAGGGAGTTCAAAGGGCCCAATAGGGGATCTCAGGAAGGCCAGGGATGCCAATCTGTCACTCAGCTTAGGGAGACTTGGGGTCCAGAGAGGACAGTACAGGGGGTAAGCAGGCAGGCCAAAGCCTCTGGGGGCCAGATAGGAAGTGAGTAACGGCTGTGTCCCAGGGGAAGTAGGGAAATAGTTGGAAAGTCTGGGATATGGAGCATGTTTCTTGCCATTCAGGTTGTGCTGTGATCCTTGGTGTTTCTCACTGTAGGTACTGGTGAGGTTTGTCCAATGGCGGCGGCAGCGGCAGCAGCAGCGGCAGCAGCAGTGGCAGCCCCTCCTACAGCTGTGGGCTCCCTCTCTGGGGCAGAGGGGGGTACCAGTGAGCTCTCAGCCACTTCCCTCCCAGCCCTGGTGAGCTCCAGGTTGATGGGGAAGAGGGGAAGAGTGGAGGAAAGCTCTTCTTGGTACAGTCTCCTCTTCCCACCAACTCACTGCTCTCCATCAGCCACGGAGCCTCCAGACAGAGGAGGAAGAAGGAATTCACTAGGTTTTAACAATGTTTCTCCTGCTCCTTTCTTCTCCCTATCAGAGCTGACCCTACAAACACCTGTCCCCTAAGTTGTGTTGAAGTCCCTTGGACAGTGAGCAGGGGTGGCAGAGGACAGCAGCAGCCACTGCCCTCAACCTTTAACCCCTTGCCTTTTCTCCCAGGGATTTGTGAGCCTTTCCCTAGAAGGTCCTGTGCTCTCCTCCTTGAGTCCCCTCTCCTACTGTCTGCTGCCCCTTCCTGGGGAGTTGGTGCTTTCTTTTTTTGTTGTTGTTTTTTCCCAGGGGGAGGGAGGAGAGAGAGGAGGGGGATTAAGATTCTGTCCCAAAGGAAGGATACAGTGGTATTGAGGGGCAGAACCAGGGAAGGCAGAGGGATACTTTCAGCAAGATGGAGTGACTAAACCCTAACATCTACTGGAGTATCTCCAGGGAAAAGCCAAGGGGAGCATCAGAAGGAGCCACTAGGGCCAGAGGCAGAACAAGAGAGATGGAATCTTAGGGGGCCAGGGTAAAGGAGGAGAGCCAGGGACAAGAGGTGCTTCCTGGGGGTGGGGGAATGCAGCCACGGTGTCTCCCCCTTCCCTCTTCCACCCCAGCTCCAGCCCTGGTCTTTTCTCCTCTTTCCCACAACAGAAGCTGTGGCCCTGGCCATGTCATCGTGTTCCTGTGTCCCTTGCATGTTTCCCCCCTTCCCCTCCCTCCTTTTGCGCAGACCCCATTACAATAAATTTTAAATAAAAAATTGTCTCTGGGTTCCTAAGTTATCTTCACCATGCCCCCCCATCGTATGTGCACCTCACCCCTTGTAGGGAGAAGAGGGAGGTCTTTACTGGCCTTCATCTTTTCTCAACTTTTCTTGCCCTGCAAAATGCTGACTCCCCCTTCTGAGGTACAGTCTCTAGATAGCACCGATTTAGGGTGAACCCAAGAATCCTGAGGCTGTGGGGAGCAATTTCCAGGTCTTTAGGGAATACCCACTGGAGATTTCTGATGCCCAAGCTGGCTATTCATGCTATCCTCCCTTCCAAAACCCAGCAGCAGGATGTATAGAGCCCCACCAAATGCCTGCACATTTAGATCCCAGAGGCCATGGTTGGCGCTGATGCAGAAGCCATTGGATAAACTATTCAGTTCTACCATGGTGGTCGTGGACTGCTTGCCCTACCCATTCCAGTGTGGCCCAGTGCATCTGCCTAGCTTGCTGGAATTTCTGGGTTTTGCTCAGACCTTTCCATAAACCCTCCCTTAAGCTTTTCATCAGCCATTGCTGTTGCTTTCCTCGAGTAGCAAGGCTTTAGTTCTGCAGGCACCCCTCTTGAAACCCAACGCGGTACCCCTGCAGCCGCCCCAGACTTAGAGCTGTCTCCTTAACCCATCTTTGCTGCTCAGGGTGCTTCCTCCCAGTCTTCACTGGTCGGCCTCCTCACAAACCCAGGTCTCTGCCAGGATCCCCCGGTGACCGTTGGCGGGAGGGGCCGAGGACTTGGGAAGGGGGTGCCCCACCAGGAGATGCGCGTGAGAAAGGGCAGGGAGGGGGCACGAGTGGTCCCCGGGCTGGTTACCCAGGTAACACGGAGCTGGCACGAGGCTCCCTTGTGCTGTCCGGGAGGGGCAGGAGGCGTGCTAGGGGCGGGGGCGGCGCGGCAGCAGTGCAGCTTAGGGGAGGGGACCAGAGAAGAAGGGCCGAGCAAACCCGGAGGAGAGAGGAGGGGAGATCCGCCACCTCCCTTCATTGCTCACAGACTTGTTCCCTCCCGGTCTGCGGCTGCTGCAGCAGCAGTGGCGGTGGGACGCAGGAGCAGTCCCGAGGCTGGCAGCGGATGAGACTGGGACGAACTGAGGCCGCTGGTAGGAGTGGACGACAGACAGCTGGGTGGCATGGGAATGCAGGTGCCAGGCGAACTAGAGGGTGGTGCTGGGTGCGCCATGCCATCGGGAGAAGATCCCCTCCCCCTCGGCCTCTCTGAAGGCATCAAGGGAACCCCTAAAAGAAGGGCTGAGAAGGGACGGACAAGATGCTAGGTCTCTCTAGAAAGGGGCGGGGAGGAGGTGGGGGGGATATTTGAGCCCAAATGCGCACTGCTCAGGTGGCGCCCAGAAAAGAGGGAAGGGCACAAAAGGAACAGAATGTGTGGGGTTCTCTGTCTGCCTGTTGGAGTGTCGGTTATATGCACAGATTTTGATGAGCTGGGGTACCTTCGAGGTGGGATTGGAGAGTCTGGGTCTTGTTGGCTGTGTTGGATGGATTCAGGAACAGACCTAGGGCGGTTCTGTTTAAAAGAGGATTGTCTTCCCGGGACTCTCCAAGCAGACTTTAGGTAGAACACTTCTCCACCAAGGGTGTCCCACCTCAAAGCAAAGGGAACGCCAACTTTTCCTCCTCTCCCTAGGGACAGTACAGGCTAGCCTTGGCCTTTGGTGATGAGAGCCCTCTTCTGCCTCACCAAACCTGTCTCCTCCTCTTCCAGGATTTGCCACTGTCACTGCTGTTTCCTCTTCCCCGCGGGCCCTCTCCTATCTCCCTTCTCTAAGATGGCAGCCAGCAGCTCTGAGGTCCCTGAAATGAAGGGGGTAGAAGAGAGTTCCAAGACCCAGAGAGAAGGACCTGACCATTCTGAAACTGGACTAGGTCCTGCCCAGGTTGTAGCAGAGATTCCAGACCAGCCAGAGGCCCTTCAGCCAGGCCCAGGTATCACTGCAGCCCCTGTGGACTCAGGGCCTAAGGCTGAGCTGGACCCAGAAACCACAGAGACCCCAGTTGAGGCCCCTGAAACAGCCCAGGCCACAGACCTCAGCTTAAATCCAGGAGAAGAATCCAAGGCCAGCCCCAGCCCCAGCGAGGCATGCCAAGAGCCAGCACCCAAACCAGATGAGAAGAAAGAAGCCGCAGCAGAGCAGGGGTCTGAGCCACAGTCTGCAGCCCCTCCTGAGTCAGTCTCAGAGCCTGCTTTCCAGTCAGACCCTCAGCCAGCTCCCCAGCCTTCTCCTAAACTACCCCTTCAGCCAGAAGCCCCCACCCAAGAGGACCCTACCCCTGAGATCCTGACAGAAAGTATAGGGGAAAAGCAAGAAAATGGAGCAGTGGTTCCCCTTCAGGCTGGTGATGGGGAAGAGGGTCCAGCCCCTGAGCCTCACTCGCCACCCTCAACTAAAACACCACCAGCCAATGGGGCTCCCCCTCGTGTGCTGCAGAAGCTGGTCGAGGAGGACAGAATAGGAAGGGCTCATAGTGGGCACCCAGGATCTCCACGAGGTAGTCTGAGCCGCCATCCCAGCTCCCAGCTGGCAGGGCCTGGGGTGGAAGGGGGTGATGGCACCCAGAAACCCCGGGACTACATCATCCTTGCCATCCTGTCCTGCTTCTGCCCCATGTGGCCTGTCAACATTGTGGCCTTCGCTTATGCTGTCATGGTGAGCCCCAAGGGACCCTGGCCCCAGGGATACTGTGGCTCCCAACTTCCTGCCAGTGCCAGAAGAGAGCCCCAATAATGACACCTTCCCTCACCTCTCTCTGCATGGATCCCACTTTCCCAGTTTCTGGGCCTTTGCTTGCCTCTCCCCAGGACCTAACCTTCCAAGCCGCTCCTGCTCTGCCCCTTCAAGCGAGGGAGGGGGGACTAGAAAGATGTTTCCTATAACCTTGCTGACCTGTGCCCTCTTCCTCCTGCATTCCCAATCCTTCCTTTCTTAACCCCACGGGGCTGACCTCTTTCCTCTGGACTCTCACCTGATCCCTGCTGGGCCGGTTCCTGCTGACCTGGGCCATGATACCTCCAAACCCCTCACCCTTACCCTAGTCCCGGAACAGCCTGCAACAGGGGGACGTGGATGGGGCTCAACGTCTGGGCCGAGTAGCCAAGCTCTTAAGCATCGTGGCGCTGGTGGGGGGGGTCCTCATCATCATCGCCTCCTGCGTCATCAACTTGGGCGGTGAGTGGGGGTCGGGGACAGGAAAGGGAGGAGTGGAAGGGTTGACAAGGGCAGCTTTACTAACCCCTGGCCCTGCTCTCTCCTGTCTGTTCTCCCTATTCCTTTGTCTCTTCCTGTCTCTTTCCCTGTCTGTCTTTCCCTCTCGTCTCCCACAGTGTATAAGTGAGGGGCTCTGCCCTGCCTTCCAAGACTTTTCTTCCTGTTGGGAGCTGTCTTGGGTCCATCCCTTCTCTGGGGGATGCCCAGTCCATGGCCCTGGCCCCCATCCCTAGGGACCAAGGGAGCCTGAGCAGCCTTGTTTACAGCTTATGTCCTGCTCCTGCATCCTGCCAGGCTGCACTGCCAGCCATTGGCTTCCTTTCTCCCTGCACTTTTGCCTGCGGATCTCCCCTCCTGCCTCTTGGCCTCCCTAACCCTGCACTCTGAAAAACCTCTCTGCACTTCTGGAAGCCTCCTGAACATCCAAATTGTACTCTGCACCTCTGCATCCCCCCCACCCCCAACACTTGTTCCTGCCTCTGGAACCCTCTGCACAGTAATTAACCTTGACCTCCTAACTTTCATTGTCTTGGTATCTAACCCATTCTTCCCTTCCCTTCCCTTCCTTAACACCGTTTCCCCTTGCCACATCCCCTGACCCCTTCTGCCTTCTCATCTTCCCATCTTCAACCCTCCTGCCACCATTTAGTCTGCAAAAACTGCAGTACTTAGGTCAGGCTGAGGGAGGAAGGATGGTGTGGGAAGTGGACTGCCTAACTAGGAGCTCTGACTGTTCTCTGCTGGGGACCACGCGGGCCCAGACCATACATACCCAGACCCCAATCCCCAAGGTGCCTATTGGGTCGCAAAGTTGGCCAGCCAGGCCTCTCCTGGGGGACTTGCACCAGAGTGGAAGTCCTTATTCTGAACATCCAGGGGAGAAAGG